AGCTGAATGAGTGATTTCATACATACATATATACATACATGCACTCACTCGCCTTCGGTCACCCTACTGTGTATGTATCCCCCTCGCGAGTTGCTGACCTCATCGGCCCACTCAAATCTTAAGTACTCCATGGCCCCCCCACCTCCTCTCTCCCCCCCCCCCACACACACCTCCCTCTGAACCCCCCAGGGTCACCGGAACTGGGTGTTGGTGGTGGCCTGGTCCCCGGATGCGGCCTACGTGGCGAGCGGGGACATGAACGGTGTCGTACACCTGTGGGAGCCCGCCGGGGGGAAGTTGCTGGGGACCTGCAGCGGGCATGGAAAGTGGATCACATCGCTGGTAAAGCAATCTTGGGGGGGGGGGTAAGGGAGGGGGGAGGGGAGGGGGGGAAAGACGAACCCCACGGGGAGGGGGGGGAGGGGAGGGGGAGGTCGGGTCGGAGTGAGGAGCTGAGGGCTCAAAATCTAGAGGTGTCGTACACCTCACGTACGCTTCAGGCTTGCGCCTCTTGTCGTTCGCCTCCTCCGACATCCCCCTCCTGCTCTGTGGTACGGAAGCGCCGGCCCTCTTCCGCACACTTGCCGTATCCTGTTTCTTTTCTTTCCCCTTGAAAGCTAATTTGTAGCAGCAGCTGTAGCAGCTGGTGATGTTGTGGCTGTAGTTTTCAGGGCAGTCTGTTCTAGTTGTTCGTTAAGAATTAATCATCTTATAGAGACCAGGATTAGCCAACATTACTGTCATCCAAATTTTGAGTGTTTTTGTTGTGCCGATTATCCAGGATTTGATTCCCGGCACTATTGGCTTGTTCGTAACACCAATCCCCTCAAGCCCTTCTGTACGAGCTTCGTACATGTCTTCCGACCCCCTTCCCCACCACACCATTCTACGCCTTGCCCGCCCCATTTCTCACTTCTCTCCCCCCCCACACCCTTCCCCCCTCACCCCCACCTTCCTCCACCATACACACACACACACTCCTTCCCCCAGGCCTGGCAACCAGCTCATAAGGCCCTTCCCAGCCAGCGGTTTGTGAGCGGCAGCAAGGACAACACCATCAAGGTGCGGGGGACCTGTATGTACGTATGTATCTCCCCCTCTCCCTCCCCTTCCCCCTGACTAACCTGGCTCAGGGGGTATGGGGGGGGTTAGGGCAGGGCACCTTTGGTCAGGCCCTCGGTCACCCGCACTCCTCCGGGGACTCCCCGGATGCCTTCTCCCCCCTTAAAACACACATCAGAGACACACACACACAGACACACACAAAGGGGGCCGTCACCTGCTTCCCGGACCCCGCGCCACGCCACGCCCCGTCAAAACCCCCCTATCCCCCTCGTGCCCCCCTGAATTCTGCATGACGTCATCATCAGGTGTGGGACGCCCTCACGCGGCGGTGTGTTTTGAGCATGTCGAACCACACGCAGATGGTGACGGCCGTCAAGTGGGGCGGGGAGGGGCTCATCTATTCAGCATCGCGCGACTGCACCATCAGTGCATGGGACGACACGGACGGGAAGCTGGTAGGTAGGGGCGCGTGGGGGTATGTATGTATGTATGTATGCATGTATGTATGTATGCATGTATGTATGCATGTATGTATGCATATGTGAACTGCGCATTGTGGGGCGATTAAGAAGGGGGGGAAGGTAGAGAGACAGGGAGAGGTCTGGGTTGGGGAGGAGGTGGAGGGGCGCGTGGAGACGCCCGCTCGGGGGTTATACATGGTACCGGTACGATGCGACACGATTGGCTCTCTCTCCGCCTAGTCCGCCCCCCCGCACCTCCACATCTCCTCCTGCCCTGCCCACCAGGTCCGAACCAAACGGAATCAATACCCAACTAAGACCTCCACCTGGCCGCTTCAACTCCCCCTCTCCCCCGCCCCCCCTCCCCGCCGAGGGGGGACACACATAACCACATACACATATACACACGCACATTCACCCCCCCACCAAACCCGGCCTTCTCCCATATCCCCCGCACCTCCCATTTCCTTCATTGCCTCCACTCAGTTTGTATGTTTGTATGTATGTATGTATCTATGTGTGTGTCAGGTGCGCGTGTTCAAGGGTCACGGGCACTGGGTCAACACTCTGGCGCTGTCCTCAGAGTACGTGTTGCGGACGGGGGCGTTCGACCACACGGGGAAGGCACCCGGGGAGCCGGAGGTGGGCCGGGGGGGTCGAGGGGTTTTCGGGTGGAGCTCCCTCCACCACGGTCGTTCTTTGTCTTGGTGTTTATATGTAAACGACACTGTAATGGGTCACCCTTGATGGCCTTCTGGGCCTCTGCTGTCTTTGCCGCCCCTTTAAATACACACACGCATACACGGCACGACGGTTATTTAGTTGATCGCCGTTAAGTGGGGACCCGCTGGTAGGCGATTACTGAGCCTCCCCCATATACACATACATACACACATACATACACACATACTGACACACATACTGACACACAGATTACCCTCACGCACGCAAACACCCCGCCCTACCCCCACCGCTTCCCCCTCACCCCCGCACCCAGGCCGCGAAACAGAAGGCGGCGGAGCGGTATGCCGAGGCGACAGCTGGAAAGTGCGTTGCGGGCGGGCATACGTGCGCGCGTGCGTGTGTATGTATGTGTTTCTCTCTGTGCGCATGTGCGAGGAGGGAAGGGTGCAGCCCTGGTGGTGGTGTCAGAGTGTGTTTGTTGGGTAGGAGTGCGGCTGGGTGTTTGTTCGTATGTTTGTATGTCCAACACAGTTAGGTCACCATCAGCCTGCCGGGATTACAAACCCACTCGGCTTTTCGTCTGCCAGCCGGTGACTGTGTAGTTATCCACATACAACATACATACATACATACATACATACATACATATTTACTTACAGGCAAACCACGCATTTTCCCTCAGCCGCGATCATTTCTTTCCCCCTTTATTTGCATGTACGACCGCCCTTGCAATCCGTTTTACAACATACGGTTTGTATGGTCGTACGCACGGCCATTTCGCACAGGTGCTGTGTTTGCCTTCAATTCCCCCACCCTCACTCACCCCCCGCAGACCCGAGAGGTTGGTGTCTGGCAGTGACGACTTCACGTTGTGTTTGTACGAACCCTCTACAAGCAAAACCCCAATCGCCCGAATGACGGGGCACGTGCAACTGATCAACCAGGTGAGAGCAAAAGGGCTGATGGGTTGCGAATGTATGTATGTATGTATATCCTGATGGGTCCTCTACCCTTACCCTCCCCCCCTTTCCCCCCTCCCAACCCCAGGTGGTGTTCTCTCCGGACGGCCGCTACATTTTGTCCGCTTCCTTCGACAAGTCCGTCAAGTTGTGGGACGGCGCCCGGGGCGGCTTCCTGGCCACCTTCAGGGGCCACGTGGGTCCTGTGTACCAGGTGGCGTGGTCGGCGGACAGCCGCATGTTTGTGAGTGGGAGTAAGGACAGCACGCTCAAGGTACGGAGATGAAAGGGGGGCGGCGGGGGGAAGGTAGTGAAGGGGGGGGGAGGCGGGGGAAAGACGCGGGGAGGAAGGGGAAGGTAGGCGGGGAAAACACATCGCCGTGGCGGCGGGTGGTGGTTGCTTAGCGAGGTATGGGAACAGAAGCCTAGGAAGCGGACAGGGATCGCTCATGTGACGCCCTTGAGCCACCTTGCACTGCACCACCTCGACACCCCCCTCCGCCCCTCAAACTAACTCCCCGCCCCGCCCCGCCCCGCCGCCGGCCGCCTCTCAGGTTTGGGACCTCCGCACTCGCAAGCTCAAGGTTGACCTGCCGGGCCACTCGGACGAGGTGTTCACAGTGGATTGGAGTCCGGACGGGGGTTCCGTGGCTTCGGGGGGGAAGGACCGAGTGCTCAAATTGTGGAGGCATTGAGTGCGGGGGGGGGTTTTGAGGGGTTTGAGGGGAGTGCATGTGGTGGGGATAGGGACGCGGGGGTGCTGGTGAGGGTGAGGTTGGGTCTGGGTTTGGATTTTTGGTTGTCCTGGTTGCGGAAGAGGGGGAGAAGAAGAGTCATGCGGTCCGTGTGCGAAAATGGGATTGGTACTGGGATATGGTGATGCTGATGCTGGGCTTTAGGAGTATCTTGGGAAGGCAGGGGGAAAGGGGCCGGACAGTGTGTTTCCCTTGTGCGTCTGTGTATGTATGTGGATCCGGGTTGTGCAAGTTATGTGTGTGTGTGCGCGTGTGTGTGTTTGAGGGGGGTCTGTACGTGAATTGAACAAATGTCGGCACAGGGCATGTACGAACCGAACCATCGCGGGTTGTGTTTTAGGGGGTTCTTCACTTGAACACTGTACAAGAGATTGATGTGGACAAGCATGTATGTACATTTGTCTGTCTGTATGCATGTACGTGTTGCTGTTTTCGACATACCGATTTCGTCGTTCCTGCTTCTCTTATGACCTTACTCGGGTCTTAAGCGCTCGCTCGTGTCTGTGTGTGCATGTGTGTGTGTGCGTGTGTGTATGTGTGTGCATGTGTGTGCATGTGTGTGTATGTGTGTGGCTTTTCGTGCGTTTTGGTGCTCCTAGGTTACAAGTTAATTACAAGTTCCGCACACAAGTGCGGGTGTGTGTCCGTAAAAGCCGGGGGGCCCATGGACGGTATATTGGTATTGATGCGGGTAGGTGCGGGTGCGGATCTGGTGAGGAGGTCCTTGCATTGGTGACGGCGGGCGGAGGGCCGCGAAGCAGCACGTGGCTACTTGGAGGCGGGTGGCCGTACACGTACATACATACCGTCCTGCGGGCGCCCCCACCACCTCCCCAACTGCTCATGAAAGGTCGGCGACCAGCCGCCGATATCACCAACGACGCCATGCAGATGATGGGCAGTATGTCGCCCCGGGGGGGTAGGGGGCATATCATCCTTCGACACGCGGATCCCCACTCTGTGCGTGTGTGTGTCGGGTTATGACGTGTGTTGTACCACCACCATACACACGACGCTCCTTAAAAGGGGGGGTCACTTCCATAAACAGAATGCAACCGACAGACGGAACGAGGACGACAGAACACAACACAAAACAGGCACCCTAGCTTCTGTCTCTGTCAGTAAGTATTCATGTATGTATGTATGTACGAATACCAAAAGGCCCTAAATTCACACCAACACACGCGCAAAGGTCATTTCCCGCCGCAGTTTACATGCCGCTGCTCGCTTGCTTCTGTCTCCAGCGCCGTACCTGTTCAGGCCCGGCTCGTTAGGGACAAGTAACTGATAGAACTCGTTTGCGACATACATACATACGCACACACACTTAGTCACAGTTCCTGCCATTTCGCTAGATTGGACGACTACTTCTCCAGTGCCATGTTCCTGCGCTTCCCTGCCCCTATCTGCCAGACGTGGCTACCCTCGCAGCGCCCTCCCCACCACTGACTTAGCCATAGGGGGGCCGGTGTGTGTGTGTACGCTGCGGAACACGCTGCTTCTGCTCATGCTGCTTTGGTTGCGGTGCGGCCGCAGCGGTTTCCTCGCTCTTTCTTTGGACTTCCTTAGAAGAGCTGTTTATGGCTCACCTCATCGCCACACTCCGCAACTCCAGAAGCCCATCCATGCCAACTGCGCCAGCAGCACTTCCCTCCTTGCCTTCTGCTCCGTCTCACGCACATCTCATACATGTCCTATTCCCCAGTTCGACTGGCGATGGGGAACTGGGTTCGTGCACTACCAGGAGGCTATGGATGCTCAGCCATTCCAATTGAGATGGAGGCGGCGCGCAATGCACCGTCCATGGATTTTTGCATTGGCACCGTAGCTGCAAGTCTATACACCAGGTTCATACATCACTCCAACACCGGCTGCCGCCACACCCCTCACAGCTATCCATCCATAATAATGAGCGTATAGTCCAAACACGACACCGTTCCTCCGCTTGCAGCCCAATGGCGTACAGACTCTCGCGCGGAATACAGCGGGGTGACTGCTGGCTGGACCAGGGCCGAGAGCCCCTTTTGGCTTCAAAGAAGCAGAGACTGCCCTAACCTGGTTTGTGTTTCATGCAGCATCAGGCGATGTGCCCTTTGGCTCTTCGGCTTCTTTGCTTTCAGACATAGAAGCCTGGTAGCTACCCGCCGCTGTAACAACATCAACAACAACATACCCCCCTACTGCTACTGCTGTTGTTATTGTTGCTGCTGCTGCTGCCGCCGTGAAGGTGGTAGCGGCTGTAGCTGCTCCCACCGGGATCCACCTCGCTCCTTCACATCGCGGGACGACCAGCAACACCAAGTTGCCGTTACCCGTTGTACGGCTGTGTCGTACTGCTGCCACATGGCAGCATCGGCGAAGCCGGACATTACTGTCGCGGGCCGGGGCACGTGCAGGACACGTACGGCATCGTACGGCGGCGCTAGCAGCAGACTCTGCAGCTCTCGATCCGTACGGGCGCCGCTTAGTAGTATCTCCGTCGGGCCGGCGCTGCCGCCACTACTGCTGCTCCCGCTGCTGCTACTGCCGCTACCGGCTCCGTCAGCGCTGCCGCCACCGCCATTACCAGCGGCTCCAATTCGGAGGACTGTCGGTGTGGCAGACTGGGGAAGAGGGTGGGGGGTTGGGCAGAGCATGCGTAAGAAACTCAGGGGAAACGGAACATTGACACATACACACAGACGCACACACAGACGCACACGCACACGCACACACACGCACGCACGCGCGCGCGCACACACACAGGTCTTCTTACACGCCCTCCAAGACGCGTTGCCCTAAGACGATACAACTCACCCCTTTGGACCCTACACACACCCCAAAGCTCCAATCCCCCCGTCCCCGCCAATACCACTTCCCTGCTCCCAATTTATCCCCCCGGCCCCCCCCGGCCCCCCCCCGGCCCCACTCTGAGGTCCGGGTCGGTCCGCGGGTTGCTGAGGAAGCTGTACTCCCGCACCTCCGCCACTCGCCACCCCCCGCCGGGCCTTATGTCCCCTAGGAGGGGGTCCGCCACTCGGAGATCCCCCCCCGACAGCAGCCGGGCCCGAAACACCTGAGTGTGTGTATGTGTGTATGTATGTGCGGGCAGGGAGGGGAGGGAGGGGAAGGGAAAGGGGGAGAGCAGCAGTGGGAGGTGGCAGCATGGGTGGTGATGGCGGTAGCGGTGGGAAGAAGGTGGGGGAGGCTAGAAGGGGAGGCGAAACACAACGCACAATGGGATAGCCGCCTCATTGCCGTCGTATAAATACCCCTAATTACCCGCTCACTGCCCCCCCTTCCCCGCCGCCAGCCCATCCAGCACCCAGCACCCCATGAGCCGTCCGCCCCCCTTCCACTCCTGACCCCCCCACACACACATACATAACACATAACACAACACATAACACATACATACAAACATGCATATATGCATACATACATACGCACAGCCCCAACTCCCCCACCCCGGTTCCCAGCACCCACATGACTCAGCGGGCACGTGAAGGGGAATACGGTGTCCCGCTCGCTGGTGATGCGGCAGGCAGACGTAGCAAACCAGGTTTTGGCGCAGTAGCATCGAAACTGCGAGCAGTAGCAGTAGCAACATACACCAGACGATTGTGCGTCAACAGATGGCCATCATACATCTCTTTGCATGCCACCCGGGCAGTGTACGGCAACAGTTGCACGTACGGGAGAGCCGTTGTCGGATCCTAGTCTGTTGAGAAGTCAGGAGGAAAGAAGGAAGGGCTGGATACCCAAAAGGGGAAAAGGGGAAGGGGAGGGCAGCCAGAGACAGCCAAACGTTGCAGAGGTACCATCATCCGCACCCCACATTTCCTCTTCCCCCCATACAAACATACATACATACAGACAGACATAATATCCATACATACACACCCACCCACCCACCCCTACACCCGAACCACCGCCTTTCTTCACTCGCCTTGGGCAGCACCAGTGTCCTGTTGAGCGCGGCAGCCAGGGCCAGGGCCCAGTAGGCTTGCTGCAGCTGGGCGGACAGGGCGGCCAGAGAGAAGGTGACCATGTCTGCCGTACGGCTGGCGGGCCAGGTGTTGTAGCCGGGGGGCAGCTGGGGGTGCGGGAGGTGAGGGAGGGGTATGAGGGAGCCTAATTAAGACATATCAAGACGTGTGTACAGCTCCCCCGAGTCTAACGCCATTTCCAACCCCCCAACCCCCCATCACGTTCCCGATACCCCCATTCCATCCCCCTACACACACGTACACCCACACATACACACACATACATACACACACACCTCCACATGTTCCAGTTCAAATGTCATGATGCGGCTCGGGCGGTAGTACTCCGGCGGGTCGTCGTACACTCGGGCGTCCCGCATGCACTGCCGCTTGCTCTCCAGACTCTTACCGGCCCAAACCCAGTGCACCTCGTACAGCGGATGTTGCCGTACCTGGGACGTACACCACCGGAACGACGGGGAGCATGTAGCGGAGTAGTGGTACTTCTCCGGGGGTTGGGGTCGGGGGAGATGCGATGTGGGTTTCGGAGCAAAGGCTGGCAGTGCGCGGGACGGGGGAACGGAGGGCGAGGGGGGGGGGGGAAATGGCTGGGCCGTGGCGATGGTGGAGGCGGGGAGCTGGGGGATGAGAGCGCGTGCGGGGGTCAAAGCAGGGGGGAGGCAAACACCTCGTGTCAGCTCACCGGGGCGCAGGGGGAGGGGAAACGAACAACCGACGATCGCAGCAGCGACACCCGCGATGGACGGAAACTCCAGAGGAATATGCAAATGGAAGAGGGGAGGTGGGGGAGACGGTGCACTTTAGCCTCCTGCATTGCCCTTCTCCCCACCCCCACCCCGCACATCAACCCATCTGAATTGAAGTGGATTGACGTACCGACTTCCCGACTGGACGAGAGTGTCCAGTCCCCTCCCCCATTCCCTTTCCCCCCGAGAAACTCCCAATCCCCATGTCCCGTCCTCACAAGCCCACCTTGTGCAACTCCGTCGTGGCGAAGGCGTACGTGTGTGAGAACGACGACACGGGCAGGCAGCCCACCACCACCCCCTCCACATCCCCTCCAGGGAGTCCAGGAGCCCCCGCCGCCAAGTACAAGTGGTGGAGCTGCGGCCCGTGCAGGGCCCGGGGCGCCCCCAGCATCCGCGGATCTGAGCCAGCAGCTGTGGCGGCTCTACTCCGGGGAGCCTCAGCCAAGCCCCTTTGTCGGTTTTGCTGATCAGCGGCAGCAGCGGCAGCAGCAGCGGCGACGGCGGCGTGTCGGTCGTACCCGCGGGGTAGTGCTATGTGGGCTAGAGGCAATTCCGTACCTCGTACGAGCAGATTGAGACCCTGCTGGTCGTCACCCGTGTAACCGGCTGGGGGGGGAGGCGGTGAGGCGGGGGGGGGGAGAGATATGCGCGGTGGGAATCGGGGGGCCGGGGGGGGGCGGGTGGGAGGAACGAGTCCCTTGGCACATGCAGGTGTGCATATGAATATACACACATACATACATACATACATACCCCCAACACAAAAACACTGCGCTAGTATAGAACAGACATAGACTCGATAAAAAATATATAGTAACTGCTGGTTCGTACAGATTCATGGTCGTACAGATTTATCCGTACGGCCCTAATGGGTTGCCTTACCCGCCTTCACGGCCATCCACCCGTTCATCAGTCGCGACCCGGTCTCGGAGCCCCTCACCCAGTAAACCCCTTTTGGGGCCGGGGGGGGGGGAAGTTGCGGGGGGAGAAGTGGGCGTTGAGGGGGGGTGAGCATTGCTTAAAATATGCACACGTGTGTGTGTATGTGTGTTACACCTTGGGTACGTGATGCCAAAGAGTCAACGAACCGCAACCGCTTCCAAAAGCGGGTTGGGGGGTGGCGAGGCGGGTACGTCTCCATGGGCTCGGAGCTGGCGGTCCCCCATACCCAGATACGATGACGGCTGACGGCCTGACAGCTACAGCCCCTCACCGGTGTTTAAGCTGTAGCTGGGGATGCAGGACCGCTCCAAGCCGGAGTCCGCCCCGTCTGTGGCCTTGTTGGTGGTGGTGAGGAGGTCGGTGGAGAACACGGCGGTGGGACCGGGGGCCCCGGCGGCGGCGGGGGTCGGGCCCCGTGTTTCCCCCAGGCTGAGAAACAGGGGCAAGGGGTCCCGAAACCACGAGACGTCTACGTCTGAGTGTACGACATCGAAACCCAGATCCACGAGGGCGGTGACGGCCGCCACCTTGCCCCAGGTGGCGCCCTTCCACGCCGCGCTGAGCCAGCGGTAGGCGGAGTGGTCAGACCTGCTGGTGCTGGTGCCGGTGGTGGAGGTGGCGGAGGTGGCAGCACCGCGGTGGTGGTGGCGGTGGCGCTTCCCCCGCCCGGGAATTGCGGTCTCGGAGGACTCTTTGCGTTGGGCGGGAAGGGTTTTGGCGGGGCCGAGGAGCCGTACGGGTGCATGTGGGGTGCTAGAGGACAGGAGGCGACAGGACAGGATGCGGCACCTATAGGGGATCAAGAGCGGCCGGTGTGTTCTCCCGTCGTGAGAAATCCCCCATCGTGGGCGGAAGAACGGCCCCAGAAAATAGAATAGCGGTAGGTCGACTGCTGCTCCTGCTGTTGTTGTTTAGGATAGGTAGGGTAGGAGAAAAAGGTAACCGGGGGGACGGGGAGGGACACTCCCCCCCCCAGCCCGCCCGCATGCGGCCGCAGAGTGGGTGGCGAAATGCGAGGGTGCAAAGAGTGAGCCAGATGAGGGTCTAGGGATTTGGGTCGGGAAGCGACTTCCCAGGTTGCCTGGTTTCCCCGGGTTGCCCTGTCTAGGGCTTTCCCCGGGGGCGAAGTCCCTAACTTCCCATAACATATATTGATGACGGCGCTGTGGTGAGGTGGTTGGCTTTGATGCCAACTTACCATTTGCAGGTTTCGGAAACAGAATGCAACGATCGCCGTAGCCAGCGGCTTCCACCGCAGCTGCGGCATCCTCACCAATGGCTGCGATCAACCAGTAACTTATTGAAGCAGATTGTACTGATGACACCCAGGACGGTCCGAAGAAGTCCCACAGCAAGCTGTCAATGGCAGTCACAAGCAAGGTATTGTTCAAGGCAACGCTCTGTGCACGTTGCCGGGATGCAGGTTTACATGTAAGGTTTGCTTGTGCAGCTAAGCTTCTTATGCTCAAATACAGCAAGAACGTAAAAAAAAGTCGTCTAAGCTGCGGCTGGAGTCGGATACAAAAAAGGCCGCCCTGATGCATCATACATGGAGTCTGCGAGCATTCCAGCTAACCAGTTATCTTATACTGGCACAAACTCCTCCTCAACTGTTGGGATGACACCATATGGGCTCGTCCAAACTGCCACCTGTCCGGGTTACGCGAAGCAAGGGTGCCGAACTCTCGATCATGGACACACACATAAAATCATCTGGAGCAGGCATTAATTTGAAGTCGCGGAAATGAGGCCATGCAGTAAATCAGGGCGGAATAGCAGTAGGTCCTTAGCAAACTTTAGTCATCTATTCAACTTGCGCCAGCGCAGCTCGCATCGCCAGGGCGCTGAACTAGCCGCATCGATCTCGAAAATGCAGAGAAAAGACGCAGGAAATGCACGAAAGGAAGCACCCTTATCGTGGAGCTGTCGAATACGGCACAGCAGGGAATAAATTCATTTCCCGATTTATTTTTCCTTAAGAGTACACATCATGGATAAAGATGTGCTTCCAGAAAACAGACACAGACAGGCACACACACCCGATGCAAACACAAACGAATTCAACCACTACCTGCAGCATTTCATATTTCCCCGCCTCCCACGTGAATCTAAAAGACCAGCGCTACATTGAATCGCCCGGAGCTCGGCCCTTGAAAGCAAATTTCTGAGATCCTCTCCCTCTATTTCAGTGACCAAGGAAGAAAGGAATCCTTTCTCTTTCATCAGCTGCAACATTGCTCTGAGGACATGGCAAGACAAAAAAGATTTGGGTGGAAGTTAGACCATCACCACCACCACCACCAAATCGGTTATGAAACACAACGGAATGCCCCCCCTTCCGCACGCGCCTTTCCCTTGCAGCGCGCCAACCTAATCCCCCTTCTTACCAACTGACAGATCTGCCAGCCAACGGAAGGTGTACACTTGCCCCACACCAGCCCTTAGTGGCAGTCAGCGCGTCGCTGCCAGCTTGCCAGACAGGTAGCGCATCTCGGGGCTATCCTGCCCCTCCTCCCCAGCTCTCGACGACCATTCGCAATTTGACACGGGCCAGACAGCAGGCAGCTTGACACAAATGCGCGCCACACTCACACTTATGCACGGCATCCCAGAGCCACGCAAAACACGTTGCGACTCCGCCATCCACCCACCCAACCGCTCAGGCGACCAACCACATCGCCCTCAGTCCCCACTGCACAGCTCACAGCTCATTCAGCACACCTATCCCATCCCCCATACCATTGCTCCTCGCTTTTTTCCTCGGTTGCGGAGGGTGTGTATGTGGTGGTGACACAGGTGGTGGTGACCCAGATGGGCAGGTGGCACCCCCGCCCGTGTGTAGGGGGAGCCATATCCCGCCAGCAGCCCGACCATGACTGTCCTGCTATCCGCGGCCGGGGCACGCAGTAGGTCCTACGGCAGAGTCCTACTACAGGACAAAGCCACCTACCGCTGTGCTACTGCTGCTGACGGCGACGTGTGCCGCCGCCGCTGGTAAAAGAACGGCGCCGTGCCGCACCAGTAAGCGGTGGATAAGCGCCCCACGGATACAGCCCCCCACCCGAGGCGGACCCCACCCCACCCGGGGACCGCATGTTCGCACACACGAAGGACCTCCTCGACCCTCATCCCGCTTGCAACGCCGTGTCCCCCCCTCCTTTCCCCTCCCCCCCGGGACAGACACATGCTGCACATGCTGCCACACATGTGGGGCACACAACGCATATACGGACAGTGGCAGTGCAGATGCCGTCCACAATAATACAGGTGGCCCATTTCTCTAGACGGGTGATTAGCGTGTAAGATGTGTTTGTGTGTGCGTGTATGTGTATATTGTGGCCATATGAAGGTGCTCGTCAGTCCCCGTCCTAGCTAATACTGCCCTGCTGCGCATGCAGCAACAAAGGCGCCGCATCCTCGCCAGCAGTGGCAATCCCGCTGCCGTTGCCGTAGTGGTGTTGGTAGTTGTTTCCGTTGAGGACAACCACCGCCGCCGCCACGTCATGACCGTTGACCTCCGTCGCACCGGCAGGCGACGCCACCACCGCCGACATGATGTCATCCGCGCAACAGCTGCCTGTACCATTGCCGTACGAGTGCTGTACGGCATCTGGGTGCTTCTCGTACACGTTTGCACAGTTGAAGTGCATCTCCTCGAATGATAGCCAGCCGCGCTTCTTGGAATACTGTAGGTGTGTACGACGGGAGACGGGCGAGCACAGGGATTGGGGGAGGGGGAGAGGAGGCCATGAGGGGGGCGAGCTAGTGGGGGGGGGGCATTGCCACACACACACGAGGGGGAGAGATCGCCGGGAGCGTAGCACTCCATCGCCATATATAATATAGGCAACGCACGCGACCGTCCACTCCACGGTCGAGGCAATCATATGCGAGGGCAGCCGTTCCACAGAGTGGTTGGAATGCCGCGCTAATACGCTGCTGTCCTGCTTCCCCCGCCCCCGCCCCCGCCCCCGGCCCCCGGAACCCATTCCTTCAGATCTAACACCAACTTACACCAAGCTATGCGCCGCAACAAGCGCCCGTTACCTCCCACCCACTACACCCCCCACTCGCGACTCGACCCCCCCCAGGCGGTCCACCTGCAGCCCCGGATGCATCACAAAGCCCAGTCCTATGGCCCCCAGGATCCAGCCCACGGTGGTCCAGTCCCGGTTGATGAAGGGCATGGCCAGCACCACAACCAGCAGGGCGGAGGCGGGCAGCAGCATCACCACCAGGCCCCAGGTGGGCAGCGGGACCCTGAGGGGGGTTGGGGAGAGAGGGGGTTGGGGAGAGAGGGGTGTGGGGAGAGAGGGGCGTGGGGAGAGAGGGGCGTGGGGAGAGAGGGGTGTGGGGAGAGAGGGGTGTGAGGAGAGAGGGGTGTGAGGAGAGGGGGAGGTGGGGGGAGAGGGAGGTGGGGAGAGAGGGGAGGTGGGTGTGTGGGTGCGCGAGGAGGGAGTGCTGATGACGGCACTAGTGAGTGTGAGACCAACATGTTACGAGGGTGGCCGGGCTTGAGGGTGTTGGAGGTCTGGCTAGCAGGGGGGAGCTGCAAGGGGGAGGAGGCAGGATACGTAAAAACACACATACATACATACATACATACATACATACATACATACATACATACATACGCATACATATTCATGCAAGTGCATACACAGGCTTATAGACACAGGAGAAACTGCGGAAAAAAGGTAATAAGGGATAAGAAGCAATCCAAGTTCTCTGCACGCCACGCGCGCCCATCAACCGCCTGGCTCTGCCCAGCTATCCAGCTCACCTGTATGGCCGCGGCAGGTCGGGTCGCTTGATTCGCAGCCAGACGAACGCCGCAAACTCCAGCAGCTCCGCGAGGCAGTAAATGGCGTTCAGCATCGTCACGATCTCGGTAAATGTCTTCCAGGCCAGGCACAAGACGCCCAGCGAGCTCAGCACGATGCCGTACACGGGCGTGCCGTACCGTGATCGGCGGCCCAGCGCCCGCGGCAGGAAACCACGTTCCGCCATTCCTTGAACCTTTCAGAGGGCGGGCGGGAGGGAGGGAAGCTGCAGTCCAGACCGCACACCTCCGCCAAACCACACCTTGTAGCTCCCGACCCACCGATTGCGTCAGTCACACACAAACACACAAACACACATACACATAAAAACATGCCGAGCTGCCCTCTTTACCACTCCACCACCACTCCTCCCTCTCCAGCCCTTCGCCGCCCGCTTGCCATTGCCCCCAGTCCCTCTCCTAGCCGCCCTCCCTGCCGCCCTCTAAAGGTCCCCTCGACCTAGGCCTCTGTCTTCGTTTTCCGTCTTTTCCGCTTTTCGTATGCAGCCTTGCCTTTCCTACGGCCTTTACCGCGCCGCCTTGACGGTGCCTAGCCCCCCTCGTCCCCGCCCACCCCCAACCCCACCCGCTCCTCCAGAAATTTTGATAGAGTCATTTAATCTTGGCCAGATATCGTGCCACATAGCAGCTTTCTCTCCGCTAATTAGCGGTGGTTCTTATTTTGTCACTTTGTGACAAACTTTTTGTGAGCAGGTCCCATATTTTTAAGCAATTTTGCAAATTTTTTGTTGATGATAACCAAAAAAATCAAACCCTTCCCTCCCTGCCCCACTCTCCCCGCCACCCCCACTCCCTCACCTGATAGGAGTCCGACGCCATCTCCGCCTGGTACTGCCCCACCTGGCTGCAGGCAGCCGCCACTATAATCCAGGCGGCAAGCCAGGGACCGCCCACCTAGAGAGTGTGTGTGTATGTGTGTGTGTGTGTGTGTGGAGGCAGCGGCAGGAGGGTAAGGAGGAGGAGGAGTAGAAGAGCCAGGAGGAGGGGCCAGGAACACAGGGCAAGGCAAGGGGCACCAACACGACCACCTGCAGTAATGCTGATGTCCAAACAGAGAGGAAGAGGAGGGGGAGCCCACGACGATAATGGTGATGATGATAATGATGATAATCACGGTAGATATCCCCAGACCCAGACCCAGACCCAGAACGGCATAACAGCAGCCTACTGCTATACATACACACACACCAACATACAGCACACACACAGTCATCCACTCCCAGAGAAAAAACTTCCCCCCCTGCCTCCACTGCCTCCAGCCTCCTCCGCCCCCCTGCCTCCACTGCCTCCAGCCTCCTCCGCCCCCCTGCCTCCATTCCCCACAGCCTCCTCCGCCCCCCTGCCTCCACTGCCCCACAGCCTCCTCCGCCCCCCTGCCTCCACTGCCCCCAGCCTCCTCCGCCCCCCCTGCATCACCCGCCGCACCTGCTTGGCCACGGGTCCGTAGTACCCCAGCTTCCAGCCGCCCCCATCCGCCAGCAAGGGCACCCCCAGCGCCGCCATGGTGGGCAGCAGGTACATGGCCACAACCAGCACCACCGCCAGCAGCAGGGCCCGGGGGAAGGTGCGGCCGGGGTCGCGGACCTCACCGGCCAGAGTGGACACGGAGTCCCAGTAGTTCAGGTTCCTGAGCGGGCGCCACGTAGGGAGGGGAGGGAGGGATGGAGGGGAGGGAGGGGCGGGAAAAAGAGGTCATCAAAGCGGCGCTGCTCACGTTACGAAGCGGAGCGGAGGTCAAGGAGGGAGAGGCGGCGGGGAACCCAGCGGCGAAGGCTGTGCAAGGTGAGGTGCGGTGCTCTACAGCACACGACTACCCCGCACATCCACGTCACGGAAAAGGGGGAAGGGTCCACACAGACCCACAGCCGCACATTCCCTATCCACCACTGCCACCACCACCATTCAACCTCACCTACACCCCCCCCCAAAAAAGCGACCCACCACCGCGAACCACCGCCATTCCCAGTGAACGCGCCAAACCAGCCCCCCCCTCTTCACATACACACACGCGCGCGCGCGCATGCAGCTGCGTGCCATCAAGCCCAACCCAACCGCAACTCCCCCCCCACCAAACAAATGCCCCGGCCCCGGGGGGCCCCTCTCCCCTTCCCCTGGTGCCTCTGTCCCAACCCACCAGAACATGACGTTGAGGAAGGTGGACCAGTCCACCTTGTCCAGGTCCACGCGGGTGTAGTTCGATAGCTGCGGGGGCGTGTGCGGGGAGGAGGGCAGGGGCGCACACCTGGGAAAACAAGGGCGCTGCGTTGCCTACCCGGAAGGACCAGAGCTCGCGCGACAGTGACACAAACTCCACCTCACCTCCGGCCTCGGGGCTCTCCCGCTACCACAGCAAACTCCACCATGACATGCACCTAACACACGACCCATACGCACACATACACGCTTAGCACTCTATCCTTTACCCATCCCACCCCAACTCGCGTGTCAATACATTGCAGCACAGCACGTGGAGTATTAACCCCCCGGTTCCCCCAAAGCAGCAGCAGCACCAGCAGCACGACAGCTGCGGTACCAAAAGGGCCAGTGGCCCCCTCCCTCCCTCCCTCCTACCCTCCCTTCCCCCCCCAGTCGGACCTACCTGGATCTGGGGTAGGCACAGCACGCACAGCAGCGCAAAGGGCACCAGGATGGCTAGCGTGGAGGTAATGACGGCGTTGCCCACCACCGTAAGGCCCCGGAAGTTGAGACCAGATAGCAGCAAGGACATGCCCACCAGGAACACACTGTTGAGGGAAAGGGAGGGAGAAAAGGACGGGGGGGAAAGACGAACCACGAGCGAGTAAAGCTGCTGCCAAGGAAGGAGGGAGGGGGGAAGAGGGGGGAAAGGACGGAGGGGGGGTTGAACAGGAGCAGCGGCACCACAGCAACGAAGGAAAGAAGGATCGGGAACAGGATGGAGCCACGCGTGTAGCCAGACAGACAGACAGACAGACTCAGAAGCCCCCAGACCTCCGGGGTTTAGCCAGCGGTGGATACCCTGGCCCCGCGGGAGGGGGGTGATGACATCATCATGACGTCATCATGACGTCATGCATGCAAAGCGAGGGAGTGCAAGGAGAAGGTAACTCAGTTAAGGATGTTAGTTTTGTTTACAGCGAAAAACAAGAGGTCTCGGGTCGCGATAGAGGTAGAGAAACATGGCCGCCCCCAGAGCCCTAGCTGCCTGGGCCCTCGGGAGCCCATCAGTCTATCAGGGCAGCCCATGCCCCCGTAACTACGGGCCCAGGTCCCCCTCGGTACCGCTCCTCCCCAGTGCCCCCATCCCACCCCGCCTCACCACACAGACCCAGACCCCCCCAGGCCCCGCGGCCCCCACCACGCACTATTTGGGCCAGCCATGTGCCAGCTGCGGGAAGAAGACCTCCAAGTTGGCGGCCAACATGACCGGGTAGAGGGAGTTGTCGGTGACCCCGGACATCCAGCTCCACAAACCCTCTTGGAAGCCCCAAAACGGACCGAAGGCGGCGGTCACCCAGGCCACGTAGCCGCTGCATGGGCGGTGGAGCGGTGGTGGGGCGTTGGGGCGGGGAGTTGGCAGCCAAAATACGGTGCAGGAAAAAATGAAGCAAAGAATGAGCTATACATCAACCCTCAACACTCCTCTTATAGTACAACATATCACCCATTTTTTTCCCAACAAAGCCCAAGTCGGCCCTTTTCCTGCCTACAACACCACAATGCCACGCCGGCCGTACAAGCTATCCTTGTCGTACCTGTTTTCCGGGAAGGCGGTGGCCAGCTCTGCGGTGATGAGTGCTTCCGGGACGCTCCACAGCACGGGGAACACCAGGAACCCCAGTATGGTCAGCAGGGGGCCGGCGGCCGACACGGCGTCCTGAGCGGCGCGGGTGGAGAAGGGTTGGGCCGGGTAAGAGGTCAGGCTGCACGGGACGCGGCGCGAGCAAGTACGTAAACCCGTAAACTGTTTGAGAACTGTTAAACACGCGTACGGACAGTAGGACGAGAGAGGGCGTGTGGGCTGCATCGTGGCAGACGGGTGGGAGAGGGGAATGCCGGGAAATGAAGCGTGTCGATTTGGGTCAGGCAGGCATCGTTGGGGGAGTTGTCGGTTTCGCAGGGAAGAGGGGTAGAGCTACTGATGTCATTAATTGCCGCCGCTAGGGGTACGGGCCGGCTGAGGAGCTTGGAGTGGGAATGCGTGGCGAAGGAGCCGTACGCGTGCAAACCGGCAACTGCCAACCTCAAACCGACAGTTGACAACGGCCAGTGGGGAGCAATCTGTTACGGAAGGGGCAAGCACGCAATCTGTACGCATATGTGGAGAGCAAAAAACGCCGTTCCTAGCCAAAATGCCGGAATGTAATTCCTCCGACTAATCTTTTTGGCAGCTCAGTAAATTGGCGTGGCTGCTGGGAGTTCCAGGCGTAATATTTGGGGCACCGCCGTGTTCCGGCGTGTTGCTTCTTTGAGCCGCGAGGCCCGTACGATTCGCTTACCTCAGTTCCAAAAGGCCCACCGCTAACTTCGAAAAAGATGAGCGTGACGAGGGGCCACAGTCCAAGGGTACGGATGTGACCAGGCTCGCCAGGCGGCCGATGGTGACCTTGGCCGCCGTAACCCATGACGCCCTCATCGTTCCGCCTTGGGCTTTGCGGCGAAATCAGCGGCACAGTTGGGTCGTTTGTGAGGTCCGCCATGATAAGTGAAGTTCAAGGGGCTGGCGGCGCTTCCGTAAGGTGGGGTGAGGACTTGGTCGCCGAGTCGGGAAACCGCAATTCCGGGTAAAGCGTGACAGCTCCGTAGCAAAGCGCACGAGCTACGTAACCAGCAAGGTTGAAAATTCAAACCAAATACTACAGCACCAGCGAATTGAGCCAAGCGCCAAGGAACTTGGCGGCGAGGACTAAGTCTCTATATCCGGGAGCCCCCGGCAAGCCAGTGCTAGGAGCCCTCCATGTCAAGGATACAAGAACAATGTTTTAAGTACTATAGAAATGCACTCAGGACCGCACGTGCATTTGATAGCGAAACCCTCAAAGTGCGATTCTTCCAGTTGGGACTCGTTGAATAGTGAACAGAGCTCCAGAAAAGCCAGTCTGCAAACCAGTGAAGTGAATCCTTAAGTCGGAGCTGAATTATGCTTGATGCGTTAGGGCAGTGACGCTGGGCCGTTAGCTTCGCATGGGCCCTGTGGATCCGGGCCTCTGACAAACTAAACAACTTCACAACTAAAGTCCTAAGGATACATGCCCATATATGAACATACATAAGTTTGCAGTCCGCTAACCCTGCTCCCGCAAGTTTGGTGCAACACCCAAAGAACCCGACATTTGCTTGAAACTCGCGAAGTGAAATGATAACACGACAAGGCCAGCCACAAGCTTTTACACGCGATGATAACCGACTATCACGGAATTTGGGCCGCCGAGGACGGCTGCATAGGCCTTGGCGGTGCCGGATGCAGTTGCAAGCCCGTGGCCCGAGCGGCGACAGCAGCGGCTCGGAAGGTGCGCTGGAACTGGCCAGCACTGAGTTGCACAAAGGATCATCGGTCAGGCTCCCAAAGCTTGGACCCTCGCTGCGACGGCTGCTTATGCAATGCCACCCACGCATGTAATCCCCGAGGCCTGACCGCAACACACTTTTCCGTTCCCCTTAATATGCGCGGTCTACTCCCTCGCGTCCTGACTTCCCCGTCCTTGCTTCACTGTCCTTCCGGTCCTTCCTCCACTGGCTGGCAGCATGGGCAGTCGAATTGACCCTGCGAAGCCCTTGAAACCCCTTCTTTCCCTCCCGCCCACCGCACCGCGTGCTGCAAACCCCTTCTTTCCCTCCCGCCCACCGCACCGCGTGCTGCAAACCCCTTCTTTCCCTCCCGCCCACCGCACCGCGTGCTGCAAACCCCAGCAGGAACGAGTGGGAGTCCGCCACCTCGACGGCAGCAGCCGGAAGTGGGCGCGGGGCTGAAGGCCGTGTGGTACGGTGCAGAGCAGTTTGGAAAGCTGGTCAGCCTGACACGACCCAAGCAGCAGCAGCAGCAGCAGCCGTCCTCCTCAGATGCTCCCGAGGCGGCGGCGGATCCCCCTTCACCCGGGCGGCGGCGAAGTCGGGAGGACATCCTCGCTGCCATCCGGAGGGATTACGACGTGCAGTACTTTGTACGGGGCTTGGCGGATATGGAGGCTTACGCGCCGGATTGTGTGTTTGCAGGTGTGTGTGTGTGTGTGTATCGGTGCGGTGGTTTGATGTGTTCATGCCATGCTTAACTACGCATTACGTGCATTTTGTGTGTTGGCTATTTGCCGATTAGTGTTTTCCCCCCCCCTTGCTGGGGAGCCCCTGGGTGGCCCTTCGCAATCCCTGTCCTTGCGTTTATACATACGTACATACGTACATACATCCAGGCATGTATGCATGCATGCAGTCCATGTGTCTTGGACGGATTTCTATATCTTCTACAAGGGAACCCACGCTTGACTCCAGAAGTCTGTAGTCTGTATGTATGCACATGCAGAAACCTGTCGTGCCCTGTAACCAACCCCCTCCCCTCCCTCCCCCTGCCTCCCCCTCCCTCCCTCCCCCTCCCCCCCGTGTGGGACGGGACTGCAGACCCCTTCGTGTCCTTCTCGGGGACTCAGCGGTTCAAACAGAACGTGTCGAACCTGGGCGGACTAATGTGGGTGCGCGACCGGACCTGATGCGGGGTGTGCATGTGATGAGTTGATGACCCATGGGTCACAGCGCCATTGGGAGGTATCACCACTACTGCCCCTGCTCCTGATGATGATGCAGCTCGCGAATGGGCTGTGCTTGCGGAGGACGTGTATAAAGGGGCGACCAGTGTGATGGTCCAAGTGCGATTCAAACCCCTGCTAATTCTTTCCCTCACTCTTCCCCTCCCGCCCCGCCCCCGCCCCCGGGCCCCCTAGGTCCGACATACGTCTGGACGTGTACGAGTGGGTGGAGGGGACCTCTACGTTGGAAACACGTTGGCGCTTCTCCGCACTGCTGGATCTGCCGTGGCGCCCCCGGCTGGCGGCGGCGGGGGGAACCACACACATCATCGACCTGGACCGCGGGCTGGTGGTACGGCACGAGGAGAGGTACGGCATTCTCGGCCGCGGTGGGAACGGGGTGGTGGGCTGGGCTGGACTGGATTGAGTGAAGGGAGGGACGGAGCAGCAGGAGAGGCGGATTGCGATGGGATGGGATGGAGATGGAGATGGAGATGAGTGTTTCTGGTACACAGCTCCTGCCGTTGCTACTGCTGCTGCACCCCTGTACGACACGGCATGTGTAACGCGATGTGGCGGGAAAGGGTGGCGGCTGAGGAAGTGGTGCCAGCAGTCAGCCAAACACTCTGAAGGACAGATAACACACGTCCCAGTCAGGTGGCTCCAGGGGGGGGGGAGCGAGGGAGGTTCCAAGCAGGCTGCTGGACGAGGCGATCGTCGTCCTTCTTGTCCCGCGCGCCATTGCCCTCCTCATTGTCCTCATTCGGTCTCATGGTGCTCCGGCCTTGAGCTACCGTCGGAAGCTGCTTGAACGCGGCCACCACACGTCTGGACGCTGCTACTGCGGCTGCCACTGTCGCCGTCATTTTCGCTGCTACTGCTGCGATTGCTACTGCTGATGCTATTGTTGTTGTTGTTGCTGCTGCTGCTGGTACCTCTGTTGTTGTTGATGTCCAGGTGGGATGTGGAGCCAGCCAAGGTGGTGGCGCAGCTGCTGCAGCCCACGGCAAAGGTGAGTTTTAGTGAGTGCGCGTTTGTGTATGTGTGTGTATGTATGTAAATCTTTACGGGTGCGCTAATGTGAGCAAGCTGGTTCGTGTGTTGGGGGGTGTATGCGTTACACCCAAAAGTTTTAAGTCCATCCCCACACGCGATACACCTTTCCCCCACGCACCTCCCCCCCGCACCACCACCCCCCACCTCCCCCCGCACCTCCCCCGCGCACTGCAGGTCCCCACCAACCCCTGGGAAACCTTCCTTTTGGCCGCCTCTGCGGGGGATGGCACCGGGGTTTGGTTCGTGTTGAGTCCGCTGGTGCTGCGATTGTCCGCTGCGGCAGCTGCGGCGTCGCTGGCATGGGGTGTGCTACCCTGGTCCGGAGGGCAGGGGCTGCTGCCGGGGCCTGTACTGCTGGCATGCGAATTGGCGGTGTGTGGCTGCGTGGTGACGGAGGTGATCAAGTTTGCCCAGGGCATGCAAGGCGGGGAGACGGGTACGGGGGGCAGGTTCTGAATATTTTAATCCAAGGTGGGGAGAGGGGGTCGGGGTGTTGGGCTCGGGCAGCAGGAGCAGGAGCAACAGCAATTGTGTATGTACGTGCGTGTGCGTGTGCGTGTGTGTGTGTTTTATTGCGTTCCGATGCGATGAGGGTTGCCGTACTTTTCCTTGGTTGGATGTCCGTCAGGACGGCGGGATCCGCGGGAACGGATGTCCCTTGACCCCCCCCCCGCGGGCGTAACACTGTTTATGATGCAGCAGCTTTATGATGTATCCAGCACTGAAGATCTCATCAGTTTTTTGGAGACCTCACCGGCAAACAACCGATCTGTACTGAATTGCATCGAAGTGTTCAAACTTGTCGACTCTGGATGTGAACAGGACGGAAGCAGCAACAGGCAGGTGCGCCGGTATGTATGTATGTATGTATGTATGTATGTATGTATGTATGTATGTATGTATGTATGTATGTATGTATGTATGTATGTATGTATGTATGTATGTATGTATGTATGTGTACTTAGGGGTGCGCCCCTCAAGGGGCCAGGCAGGCGATCGCCGCTAAGTTGAAGTGGTTCTGGGCGTCGATGTTGCCCTGCCAGCCGGCTCCGCACGGTACAACGTCGTCCGCGTGGATGTGCTGCTATGCTGCCAAAGGCAATGGTATCTTGACTGAAGAAGCTAGGGTTGTATGTGCCACTCCATGGATTGTGGGTTCCTGTGGTGTGTTATGCTCTTAAGCCAGCCAGCCATGGTGCATCTTAAGGTACGAATTCCGCTTCCTAAGGAGGACATGCATACATACATACACACATATACATAGGTACATACATACACTCGTTCAGAGCTTTTGTGGTGCACATGTCACAATATGTGTGTGTATATCTCTCCAGGTATAACGTCCGAGTTAAACCGTCACCCGCACTGCACCCGGGAGCGGCTCCTGCCCTGCCCTGCCCTTCCCGGGGGGGGGCTAAGCGGGGTGCGGTTAGGTGTGGTGGTCGTCAGTGCAGCGGTGGTGACAGACAGACTGACAGACTGACAGACGGACTGACTGGTTTGGAATTCCGGTGGATGCTCCCGGTTGAACAAATGCCGTAAGCGCGATACAGAGGTTCGCATGTATGTATGTTGTTACAGGGTGGTTAACTTCGCCAGCGGCCCCCTTTCCCGGGGCAGTCCCTGCTCTCCCCTGCTAGAGGGGCACCCTAATCCGTCACCCCATCCGACTTCAGAACATGTATGTATGTAAGTAGTGCACCTCTGGGCCCCGAGGGGGACGCAGAGACGACCTGCCGGGAGTACCCTCAACCTCATCCTTAAACTCAGTATCGACGAACAAGTCAAAGGCGAATGCACGTATTTCGGAACAAATCTGCTGTACAAGTCCGTTTCGGCCATCCTGCCAGCCAAGCGGCTACTAGACGAGGTGAAGATGGCACACACACACACACACATAGCAGCAGCACCTGGCCAGTGTCAGGATTGGTAAGATCCTTATGTACCTTCACACACATACACACATACAGGGAATACACATATACATACATACGCACATACGCACAGAACTACTGGGTCGAATGTCGGACGGGGTGGTGGATGGCCACTGACCCTCAGAACTTCCTGATGCCCCGCAACAGCGCCTCCACGTGGGCGTCCGGTACCCCGTAACGCCGCCAGAACTCCGACAGCGTTTCAGATGTCACTCGGCGCCCGGTTCCGTTGGGCCCCGTGTGCAGGGACAGGTAGCTGCCGCCCCCATCGGGGCACACCACCTTGCACACCTGCGTGCGTGCGGGGCCGTAAGCGCGCGCGTGTGTGTGTGTACATGCACGTGCGCATGTATGTGCGTCCGGTATACACTTGTGTAGAGATGTATGTTACATCTTGTAAACATAAGGTATATTCAAGATGAAATGACATAAACATTATATATATTGCCATATATACAATACATAACATGGCCGATGACTAATAGCGTGTTGGACATGGCCCCCGTCCGCGGGTTAGACAGATGACCTGGCACCGCCACCCACCTGGTTGGCCTCCCGGGGGGCGTCCGCCTGCCAGCACAACCGGGTATCCACCACAGACATGAAGTACTGTACGGATGGACCGTCAAAGCCGTACAACACCTCCATGGGGCCCTGGTCCAGCTTGTAATATACGGGTGCTGCTGCCTGAAGCGGGGCAGCAAGTCGTCGCCGTGGTTGGGGGTGCACATGCGTGATAACAAGGGCAGCGTCAGGGACGCCGATGAAACCGTGCAAGCGGCGTGTGAGGTTGCGGTCTCAAGCCACCATTCATGCATGCGGATGTGGAGGGGAGGAGGAACGGAGCGGAAGGGCGGGTAGGGGGATGGAAACGATGGGCGGGTCCTCCGAGGGCGGTAATGGAAGTCATGGAAGTCATTATGTGGGAGGCAACGGAAAGCGTGTCGCGTGGACGACATTATGCTTTGGGGAGGCGGGCGAGTGTGGGGACCGGGGGGGTACCGGGGGAGGAGCCGTCCTCGGAAGCTAGGTCGCGGAGTGCATGATGGGCTGGATGAGCCGAAGGCCCGTAGCTCTGTTATGAAAGATAAAACAGACACATGACGTACGTGTGCTGGTGATACACACATACACACACATACAGGAGGGGCCAGTGGCCCCTCACCCCTCTCCCCTTCCCCCTGCGGGGGAAGTGCGTCGGCGGTCTTGTCCGTTGGGGCTGGGCAGCAGCCCCTGGCCAACGTCAGGCCCGGCAAGAGATATGACATACACACACGCATTTTCTCTCTCTCTCTCACTGACACACACATACACACACACCCGCGCACCGACACACATACGCTGGTGACGTGCCGCACCTCCGCAGTCGCTTCCGGTGGAAGCGTCCTCACGTGGACTATGGGATGTGTGTAGTAATCGCTGTGTTGCATGTCGCTCTTCGGGAAAAGGATACCAGGAAACCGCCGCATACAGCGATGACGACGCAATAGGCGAAATTTGTCGCGGTTTCCGCGCAGACGCTGGTTGCTGCTGCAGATATAAAATGAAGGCGTCGCAGAAGCAGTAGTTCTTTTCGCGCTTCGCCACTAAGATGACGCTGCCACGGTGTCTGGGTCATTCCATCACACCTATAGCAAACTTAGCTAGCAACCGTTTCGGAAGTCGCTTGTGTGGGCTGCTCATGAACCTTTTGCCATCCTTTCCTAAGCTGCTTGCTGCGGGATAGTGGCCCTTTCACGAAAAATAAAACGACCCGCGGGTCACACGGGAACAATTGCCGGAGCTTCTATTGCTACAGGAAGAGGGCTGAAGAGGCAGGTTATGCAGTCCACGCCTGGTTAGTTGGGGGCTCTGGGATTGCTGGCATGCATCATTTCTTTTTCTAGCTGGTACGGAAACGCTAGGTCGCTCAACTGAAACTGGGAGCAGTCTGCGAGCAGCGCTGAGGGAAGACTGCAAGGCTGAGGTTGCTAGTGGAAACGACCTTCCTTTGGGGCAAGTAGGTTGCATGTAATACATATCCAGGAAGGTCGGGAGCAAGGCTTTCAAGGCGGCCTTAGGATGACGAAAACGCGAACATGCGGAAACTCAGGAGTGGCAAGTCTACGAAGAAGTTAACGTTCGACTGCTCAGCCAATCCCTTGGATCCCCAGAGAGATATACATGGCGATTTGTTGAACTGCCACCGCATGGCACTTTTAGCGCTTTAATGTCTATCGTGACATGTATGTCATGAGCTGTTGCGCAAAGCATGGCAGCGAGCCGTCACGCGCACTGTTATGTCTGTGGAGTAGCGTTGGGGCTTGGGACCACAAACCCTGAAGAATTAGAATTTTTCAGGAAACATTTCAAGGCCGACCTTGATTTGTTTCGTGGTATTGAAGGTCAGTCGGTAACTTTTGATGAGGGTATCGGTGAGATGACTGATGGGACTATGTGCCCCATAACTGCAACCAAAGCAACGCAACATGCTGCTTGCTGCGCCCTCCGCGACAGTCAACCTTATTACTCTAATATCATCGGAGTCCTTCAGCACAGTGCACCCTTTTCATCCGCAATGCAAACGGATTGCCCAAACCCTTCCTTGCCTGCTCCATCCGACCCCATCCTGTGCTGTCCATCACCGGTCTTACCCCCGCCACTGGGCCCTCAATATGCTCCAGCCGAGGCCCCTCTAAGCCCCGGGTCTCACCGCGGGTTGTGTTGTCCCGAAAAATACCCATCCATAATTGCAGGAGAGCAGCAAGGCGCAGGACCTAGCACACACCAACCACACAGCGTGTCCACCCCCCCGCTGTGTCCACCCCGGCAACATTACCCTCAAAGTCCCCCCCCCACACACATACACACATACACACATACACACATACTCACACACTGAAAGCCCCGGAAGACTCTTCCCCCACGTCGCCGCTCACATACCCGCACACCCCTCGCCTGACAAGGCATAGATTTCAATTGAGGAGTAATAGCAACATTCCTTTGGAATGCACACACACACACACGCACCAACAGACAGACAGACAAACAAACATATATAAACAGACAGAGTCACACACACAACCAAAACACCGTCTTTGGAAGACCACGCTCTCCCGTCTCAACGTGCACGCACATGCCCCCGGGCCATCAGGCCACCAGCCCCCTCGTCGCCTGTCTCTTGCACGGCCTGTCCTCCTCTTCCCCACCGCCCCGACCTCCTCCTCCTCCGCCGCCGCCCACACCTCCCCCGCCAGCACTACCTGCCACGCTCACCACCAGTGGCCCAGCCCCGGCTCCATCGCCCCCTGTCGAAGCCCCCACTGCCCGAGGAGCCGCTGCCACCCGCGCACCCGCCACACCCTCCGCCTCCTCTCCATCCGCACCCGCACCCTCACCCATCATTTCCTGTCCCTGCCCCTGGCCCTGACATGGCCCTGGCAGCGGCGCCCCCGGCCCATCCGGCAATGCGCCGCTGCTGGACGCTCTTGTGCCGGTGGGGGCTGCCCCCCTGCCCCCCTTGCCACCAGGACTCAGCCCCTGCGGCCCCTGCAGCCCGTGCAGGGGCAACCTCTTGGCCCAGCCGCGGAAGCCGTACGCCGCCTCGGTGAGGCCGCACAGGAAGCTCCACATCTCGAGAGGGCCCGCGGCTGACGAGAGACAGCCACCACCGCCACCACAACCGGGGGGGAGAAAGGAGGGGGAGGGGGGTTGAGTGCGTGCGTGTGTCTAGGTGTTCGTGCGGGGTATTCATCTGGCACCCCCTCTCCCGTTCCCCTCCCCTTTGAGGGGTCCGGCTCTTTGTCACCTCTCCCGGCCAGAGGACCCGGCACCCCCCGACCCGTCCGTCTTTACCCGGATGCATCTACAGGCCTTGATGAGATGGGACCTCTCCGGCAGGTGGGTAAGTAACCCCCCTTCCCA